CGTAAGCTTTTTAAAATAATAATCGTGGCTATTGTATCGTTAAAAATTTTTTCTTTATTTTGTATAAACAAAACAAATATATTGAAAAATATAAAAACAATAAAAAAATTATACTTCAGAAGTTAATTTAATATCAAAAACGTAAAATATTTGAGTAGTCCAAGACATAGCCAAAGATTGCAGTGCCACAGCACTATCGAAAATTTAAATTTGCCAACTGGAATTCTTTCGGATAACTGACGTTTCAGATAAATGACGCTCTACTGTATATATTTTTTATTATTTTCCTATTTTATGAAAATACTTTGAAATTTTGCTGATACATAATTACAAAATATTAATTTTTTAATGTTATTAATTTATTAAAAGGTTTTGATTCTAGAAATGATTATTTTCTAAAATTTAGTCATTCACAAGTATTAAATATTCAATCTGATTTGCAAGATTGAAAATTGTTTGTAATTATTACAAATTATAATTAAATAGATTATGTTTATATTTAAGCAACACAAATAATTTGTACAGAAGATAAATGCTATTTGCAATTATTTAAAAACAAGCTTATTGACTGTCATATAACAAAACAACATAGGCCTGTAATTAAAAGCAAGTGAGAAAAACATGTTACTAACTATGGTAAAATTCAATTTGAAACAGCATTTGTAAATACAAATTTTGGTTGAAGTTAATTAACATTCCTGCTCTGCACTTTCCAAGCCACTACAAAGCAATTACAATATATTTGCCTAATACAGTAGAGCCTCGAAAACTCGGCCTAATGTGGACCAAAGGGTGGCTGAGTTTGTGAAAATGCCGGGTTATCGGAAATGGGGTTGAAAAAAATAAATATGAGTGTTTCCTCAGAAAATACTGTACTGTACTTGTATGTATTGTTTACTTGAGAATACAACAGAGAATAAACTGCCCAAATACCCTTAAACAAAGGAAAAGTACAACCTTTATGAAGGCATAGAGCCTTTACTACATGAAAATGAAAATTAATGAATACACTGTGTACAGTAATTTACTTGATAAGACAGACCTCAGAAAAATACTTTGTGAGGCATAAAGCTGTCTATAATGAAAATTAATTAACTAAAGATTTTTTTTGCCCTGCCAAGGTGTGGCCGAGTTATCGAGTGCCGAGTTTTCGAGGCTCTACTGTATTACAGAAAATTATATAAAAAAAATAAAATCAGGAAATATAAAAAGCAGGTCAATTTAATTAATGCTAATAATAAAATAAGAAATAGTACAACACAAATATTTGCCAGAAACAGTTAAAACTACTGTTTTTTTTTAATGAAGCTTGCTTATAATAGGAGGATAGAAATGGCACCATATAATCAATGTTTGCATAGTATTACAGTAAATAACACTTGGAAACTAAGGTGTGATCCATAAATATAAAGGCATAATTTGTTATGAAAATAAAAGCTAAACTAATTATCATATAACAGACCAATTTAATTTTGAGATAGTTATAACTTACAAATAAATATATCAAAAAATCATGTAATTATATTGTTTAACAATTAGTTTAAATCAAAATCACGTTTCTCGCTGTCCCAAAAATATAACGGCAGGTTCAGTTTTCTAACAATAGTGGTCATATGGTACTACAGTATAACTACCATGTATTTCAAATGTCTATTTCTGTTATGTATTGATGTAAATAAATTGTTTTTCATCATGGGGCGTGCAAAACCCTTAACAGATGTTTAAAAAAGCAAGATTTCAGCTTTAAGAGATGAAAATTACTCAGCAAAATCAATTGCAAAGAAAATTAATCGTTCTCCAACTGTAATTGACAATTTCCATAAAGCTTGGAGAAAAATACAGACAAAATAAATTAACAGGTCAACCCTGAAAGCTTACAAACAGAGGAAATTGTAGTATTTTGAGGGAAATCAAAAGCAACCAAACATCTTAAAACTAGCATCAAATCCAGAGCTTAATGTATCAAAATCTACAATTGGAAGAATTGTTAGTACATGTCAGCATCTCATCTGTAAAATTGAAAAAGCCTGCACAATCACTAACCTTTTTCTATGAGCAACAGTGCTTGCAGCAGACATGGGAGAAAATGGGACACAGACAGACACATGGAAGCACATCATCTGGAGTGACGAGAAGTTGTTTAATTTTGATGGTCCAGATGATTGGACTTGTTATTGGCATGATTTGAGGGGTGAAAAAGAAATATTTTCAAAATGGCAGCAAGAGGGAGGCTCAGTAATGGTATGGGGTGGGTTTAGTTGGTTTGGCAAGACAAATATTACATTCCTCAGTGGCCAAATGAATGCAAATCATTATCAAGACATGCTAGAAAGTTATTTTTTGCCTTGGGCTGATCTAATTGCTGGAAATCATTGGTTTTTACAACAAGATCAACACAACTAAAATCACTGTACACATTAGCCCAGGTTTATTATAGTTATTTTAAAAATTTTCAAAATATTTAAAAAACTTTTTTAAAGTTTTTTGAATAGTATTTTATTTTTAGAATAGTATTTTAGAATAGAATAGGCAAATATTTGTGTTGTACTATTTCTTATTTTATTATTAGCATTAATTAAATTGACCTGCTTTTTATATTTCCTGATTTTATTTTTTTTATATAATTTTCTGTAATACAGTAGAGCCTCGAAAACTCGGCACTCGATAACTCGGCCACACCTTGGCAGGGCAAAAAAAATCTTTAGTTAATTAATTTTCATTATAGACAGCTTTATGCCTCACAAAGTATTTTTCTGAGGTCTGTCTTATCAAGTAAATTACTGTACACAGTGTATTCATTAATTTTCATTTTCATTTTTGAATAGTATTTGTCTGTTTTAGAAGTTTTACTTCAAGTTACCTGCTGTTTGTGGTTCCTGGATTGGAATTAAAAAGGATGTAAATAGAAAAATAGGACTCATTGTTTGTATAGTCTTAAATTTTCAAAGTAACAGCTAAATCAACTTATGGGTATTTTTTAAGTAATGGAGTCCCAGTTATTGATTGGCCAGCTCATTCTCCAGATTTGAATCCAATGGAAAACCTCTGGGGAATCTTAGTTAGAGCTGTATATGCTAATGGGTGCCAATATAAAAGTGTAGATGAGTTAAAACATGCGATTAATATCCATTGGAAAAAAATAACTACAAAAGTCCTTCAAAAACTTATAAAATCAATGTCAGACTGTATCTACAAGGTTATAATGAAAAAGGGAAAGTATATTGGTTATTAGTTGATTATTAGTAAAGATTTATAACAATACTTTCTACTGTTCTAGTTATTTTGTATTATGCCTTTATATTTTTGGGACAGCAAGAAATGTTATTTTGATTTAAATTTATTGTTAAGTTGTTAAACAATATAATTACAGGATTTTTTAGTATGTTTATTTGTAAGTTGTAACTACCTGAAAATTAAATTAGTTTTGTAATATAATAATTAGTTTAGCTTTTATTTGCATAACAAGTTGTGCCTTTATATTTATGGGATGAACCCATTACATTAAATTATAAATACCAAATGGACAATATTAAAGTTTTATAAGTATGTGAATACTGCAAGTATAGGGAAAATATATCATTACTATTCAAGTATATTATAAAAAAAGAAAAAATCAGAAGAGTATCATAACTGCTTTTTCTGCATTAAAGTGGTAATTTATATTACTTCCTTTTAGTAAACAGATGGCCCCTTTTTACACAAAAAATTTTATTTGAAGCTATTTTAGAAGTTAATAGGATATGAATTATTATGTCATTACAATACTAATGAAAACTTTATCATAATTAAATAATGTAATATGACAGTATTAATAACTTAAATTAGTTAAATATTATTATTGCTATCATTGTATTTTCGTGGAATGATCAGCATGCCAATTAAACTGCCACTAAAATATAAAATTAATCAGACCTAACAAAACTAACTGTTAATTATACATTGTACTTGGAAGAATGTTTTCTTTAAATTATAATATTGTAATTTGACCAACTGAAAATCAGGAAAGAGTTTTCATTTACAAGACAATAAAACAATTAATAACTTATTGATAGTAGTAGTTAGTGTGAACTACATTGACCTTAAAAGTAATACCTTCCTCTCGAATTTCACACAAAGCCTTACTTAAACAGGCAAGCAGGCTTTTATCATATGAAAATATCAAACTTTCTGGTCTACCCTGGACAGACTAGCATGAAAGTCATTCCGCAAAAATACAATACTATTTTATACACAAAAGTTAAATAGTGAAAAAAGGAAGACAGGGAATGGAAACAAGTAAAAAGTATTATTTCTCAATTAACTTAAAATAAACAAATCATAACTATATAAGAATAATAAGAACGTTTTTAGTATTTCTAATTGTATATCTAGAGTAAGATAAAACAATAAAGCATAACATTTATAAATACAACTAGAAATCCAATATCTAATGTAGGTTTAAAAAAATCCAGAACGACAAATAAAATATTTAAAAATTCATTCACTAATAAATACTGAATAAAATTTCAATAAAAAGAAAATTAAATGATTATAATCACTATGGGCACTGTCAAACTAGACAACATATTTAAATGGAATAGGAAATATCATTATAAAAAATTGATTACATAAAAATAATGTGTTTCTTTATGATTAAACACCCATTTTTCTTGTGATTATTATTAACTGTAATTAAGCTATTTTATTAGTGTTTAAATTAACAAGTTTTAAAAAATAAATTTAAATATTTTGATTTTTTATGACTATTAATTCTGTAATATCTAACTGCTGATGAATTTGAAGAAAATTAACAGACTAAATATAAATAAATAAAACAACTTTGATCTTTAGATTGGTTTTAGTTTAAAAGCTAAATTTCTGTTAAATAAAATAAAGTAAACAGAAAAATCTAAATCTTTTTTCTTATAAATTAACAGAAGTGCATACTTTCACTTATATTTTAATATAAAAATTTGATATGAAATAAATATAAATTAATTTGAATATTTTATGTAACTTACTGTTATGAATCCATAACCTTTAGACCTCCCGGTTTCAGAATCTCTTATTAATTCAATTTTATCAATCTGGAGATAAAAAATAATTTAATATTTTAAAACAAAACATTAACTTTACAACAGATATATTATACAGTGCAAAACTGACAAAAACATTAAATAAAAAGCTAAAATGAATCAATTTAGAATGTATAAATGATTTCTATTTGTTTTTGACAGCCATTTTTTTTGTGGTAATAAAAAAAGAAAAAGTTTCTGTGACATACATATACAGTCGACCCCCCTATAACACGGGTTCCTATAGTTCAGATTCTTATATGACGGCAAAAAAATTGTGACGGTATTTGTACAAACATGGTAAAAAACTCCTATAATTCGGAAAAATGTCATCGGGCAGCCGAACTACATTCCGCCGTCCAGCGCCACGCTACGGAGCATTTAGGCAGGTAAATTCAGTTTACTATCGTCTGTACAGTATGTAAATTAGGTACCGTAAGTCTAATACAGCATTAATTTTATACATTTCTTGTGAAAGAAACATTTCTTATTCAACGGCCATAAAAATTATTTCTATTAATGATGTCTCCAAAATTCAACGAATTTTTCGCAGAAAAACAACTTATCAGAAATCGCGCCTGCTGTTTGGTGCGCTGCTCCACGACGAAAAAAAAGCTTAAGCAATGGCATCGTCGAACGATGCACACTTGGTAAGTAATCCTACAATTTTTTGTTTATAGCATAGTTTATACGGATTATTCCCAAAAAAATATATGTGCTTTGGAAATGTTGAGTCAAATTAGTCTAGGAATTGATTAATTTTATGGAAGAAAACCTTTCAAACAGCCGTAGTCCGTAAAGTGCATACATGCCGGGCTATGATTGGCAAGGACTCGTACAAAATAGATTCATAAAGAACGGAACGTATCTACCGTGTTATGGGGGGTCGACTGTACTTATATGATAATCTTTGATATTTTACAATGTTGGCTTTGTCATTTGCAAAAATAATTGTTATTTTTTATTTTCTGTTAGATACATTTTTATAAAACATTACAAAATTTTTAAAATAATTTTATCATTGGCATATACTGCAATAGTAGCTTGGTTCTACAAAGTTGTATGTAATTCACAATTGTGTAAATTGGATGGCCAGATGTCTATTTCAATTAAGACATCAACCTACAATTCTTGGGACCTGGGATCATATATGAGAGAGCAACTCCAGAAATTTTTCATAGGTAGTCAAGTCCCAGATATATGTCAAACCTTGTCACTCATCATTCACAGTTTCTCCCATTGTAAACATGGAAAAAAAAAAAGCACTCTTAGTCCTCACAAGGAAAAAGATAAATTGAAATTACCATTTATATAGAAAATGAACTACAAAGTTATATTCCCAATTCAAACATTAATCTTGATTTACACGATTTCTATTTATTCTAAATTCTGTGGAACCAATCTACTATGTAAACAAAATTTTAATATATAAAAGTGAATAAAATTAACAAATATTTATCATATATATCTACAAACATTTTGGGGAGGAAAATAGCCACTCTTATTAGAAATGATTATTTTAATCAGAGATAAGTTTAATTTAAAACCTAAAATCATAAATTTCCTGGTCTCTCAAATATTTTGGAGTGTGTATTTTTAATATCAATACATACAAGCATCAAAATAAAAACAATGACTGACAACAGACTTAACGAATCATCTCTATTGATTTTGAAGGTCAAGACAACTGATAGAACTGGTTAGTGGCACTGTCATCTTAAATGTTCAATCTATTTGCAAGGCTTTTTAAGATTTTCAAAAGGGTTATACAGAATGTCCAATGATTGACACAATAAAGTGGAAATTTAAGGACAAATGAAAGCAGAGGAAAATATTTTGGAAACTCAAGGTCCATGTCAATATTATCCCACAGATAGTTTTTTAAAAGTATGAAATAATGATTTAGTAGCTTAGGAGAACCAATGCATAGTGATCTTAAATAAGTTCAAAAAACAATTTTCTGCACATGGCCTTGCTTTCTTATCATCTAAGTAACATACTGCTTGTTGAAAAATTAAGTCTTCATCTGCAGCCCTCTTCCATATAGCCAGAAGCATATTTAACACACAAACAAATACCAGAATAAAAAATTTTCATTATCTTGATTTTCTAGATAGGCTACTCTTTTTAAATCTTTTGTTACAGATTAGAGTTACATACTTTTTCATATCTAAATATAGGATAATGAAAATGTGAAAATTTATTTGTAGGAAATAGCTGTCATAAAGTGTCTTTCATAAGAACTCTTTAAAAAATAAGGAACAATTTTTGAAGTTTTTTGTACAGTATTGAACATCAAAGAGAAGCATAATACAAGATGCCTGGTAATACTACTCCAGATATACAAATTACTGTCAACTACAAATTGAAAAAAAAATTATATTGATTGTGTCTTGCATTTTTATACATATGTTTCATAAATTTTTGTAACAAATTGAAGTGCCAGCACCATTGACAGGTCCTAAAAGGAATTCTATTGTATGTTCAATCTGTAACAATATTTGACATTATCTAATAATTATAGCTTGAGATCAATATTTTTCATGATAAAATTTAATCATTTGATTTCAATAATTAAGGAAAGAAACAAAATTAAAAAATTGCAAACAGTATAGCATTCTAATTCAAATAACTGGAAATTATTTAACTGATTTAAGAAATATTTTAAGTTATAGTTAATTGTAATATTTTTTAAAATTCACTAAACAATTATTAGTTAATTTTAAACATCCTTTTTGTAGAATTTTGTAGTTCATCAAAAAAGATGGTAATTCCCATTCAAGACAAAATGTTTATATATAAATTAAATTATGTTTAAAATATGTTAATATAATAAACATAATTCAGAGATACTGCTTAAATGAGAATAATCAGAATACAAACAAATATACATTAAATTTTTAAGATTTTAAATTGAATATTAATATTAAGACTCAAATTAATATATTTGAAATAAAAACATACCCTTCCAAATGGTTCAAAAATTCCACGTAACATATCTTCTGTTATATTAAAATGAAGAGACCCAACATATAGTCTCATGGGGCCTGTATTTCCTTTCTGAAGATTGTTGGCACTGGCAGCAAGTCTATTTTTCTCTGCTTGAGTTGGCTGTACTATAATTGGGACTCCTAATAATTTTTGACCATTCAATCCCAATGCCTAATATAAAACATACATTTATTTAAAATTAATTTTGTGATATCTAATAAATAATTTAAATATTTGTCTAATAGTTATAATGTAGTTAATATATAATTACAACAACAAATACTTGAAAAAAATTAATTTTCCTTTTTATAATTCCTTTTTTTAATAATTCAATATAATTCCAAATTCCTTTTTTGTAAATCTATTACTGAGACACTTGGTTACTGTAAAGTTGTTTTACTTATCAGTGTCTAATATTACTTCATTCGCGTGATTTAGAAAAGGTTAAATTTCCTTGACTTATCCAGGTAACCTTTGATAACATTTATATATAAGCAGTCCAATCCTATTCCCTTCATTCAGTCCCCACTCACTCTGCTTCCTTCACTAAACACCACCTGCTTGTTTTGCTCACTTTGCCCACTTGTTCAAAAATTTCAAGAGACTGATTTCCAGTGCTGCAATTTCTACTTGTATTTTTATAACTGAAAAAAGTATCCTGATTTTAAGCAAAGTACTTTATATATATAAAATAACTCAAACGATTAAACTCATTGAATATTCAGAGTATTCAAATATTCAAGATATGGTAATATTCAAATTTCAGGAAAAATTTTATTCCCTCATCTCTTAACACTTTGTGCCAGAAAAGAATTGTATAGTAAAAATCAGCCTGAAAAACTACAGTAGAACATTGATTATCTGAAATAATTCAGGACTGGGGTTGTTCAGACAACTGATCATTTATGAAAAAATATATTAAACACAAAACTGTACAGTATTTATTTTATATCATATGTCTTACAAATACATACCTTACATAAAGTAGTACATTAAAGTAGGTCTACAGTTTAGGTTGGCAGGGAGGAAAAGAGTGCTGCAGTGCCACAGCACTATTGTAAATTTGAATTTACCGACTGGAACGCTTTCAGTTAACTGATGTGTTGGTTGATCGGTATTCAGATAATCAATGCTCTACCATACTTGAAAATGGCTTGCAAACCCAATCCATTTTTTTCAAAATGTTTAAAACCAAATTCTGTTGTATTTTTCTTACCAATTTAGTTTAAAAGATTAAAATTAAAACATGCATTTGAACTCCATTCTCTCTCTATAATTTTTATTTAATTTCACAAAAATTGCAAGGAATTAAAATGAAAGAAAACTGGTCTGTAAACACCACTTGAAAATCACTGCTTTATAGCAAGTATTTTATGAACAACCATACTTACCAAAGGAACAGATTCAATACTGGCGAATTCTATGTATGCTATTCCTTTTGATCTTCGTGTTTTATTGTCCATAATTATTCTTACATCACAAACCTAAAATGAAAAAAATGATAATAAAATACTTAAAGTGTTCATATAAGAAGCAGTTTATTTTAATTAAAAATAAACATCAGATTTAAATTGGGTAAGTTTTCCACAATTAGTTCAGTATGGTGCATAAATCATCATTAAAAAAATATTACACTTATCTGTTATTTGGATTCTTTTTAAAAAGATAGTCAAAATATAAAATACTTCAAACAAATAAACACAACTTTAACCTTTATTTTAAAAAAATTATAGTTAAAACTAATTGCATAGATTAAAATAAAACTTTAATTTCAATAACAAAAATTTCATTGCATTTGTCTTAATTTCTATTAATGTTTTAGATAGAATTTTCAATTTTCAAATATGTTTCAATTTGTTAAATAAATGGTACAAAATTTCTGTTCACAAAATAAAGCTTGAATGAAGAGAAATCATTTAAAATTTAATAAATAAAAAGGTTAGAACAATGGTTCCAAAACTATAGCCGGTGGATTTTCAGAAAACTGCAGGCCTATTTTCTAAAAAAATACTTTTAGTTTATTACTTAGAAAATATTTAATATTTAAAGCTGTATTAAATAAAATGTGATAAATTTGTATATAATATATTAAAATGTTATATTTTAATGACAATGAAAAATAAAAAAAATTTGGTTCTTTTCATTAAGTTTTATAATTTTGTTATTTTAACAAAAATTTTCTAATTAATGCAATTGAAAGCTGTCAAAAAAATAAGATGCCTCAAATGATGATTATTATTATAGTTTATTAATTAATGACTAAAATCCAACGGCTGAAAATAGGAGCCTGCCAAAATACATATGAGGGCTATTTTTTAAATAAGGTCCGTTTTTTAATAAGAAGAAAAATACTGTAAATATCAATAAAATATATTTTTTCTCATATTTTACATACTTTTATCTACTTTTCTACATACAGTAGAACGTCATTTATCCGAATCAATTGGGGACTGGGGTTGTTCGGATAACTTATTTTTCGGATAATCGATTATGTATGAAAAAATATATTAACCTATCCCATGTTGAAATTTTACTCCGTTGCATGTCGCCTTGTGTTGAATTTTCGTCGATGTTAAGCCTAATGTAAACTTTTTAAAATAATAATTGTGGCTATTGTATCGTTAAAAATTATTTCTTTATTTTTTACAAACAAAATAAATATATTGAAAAATATAAAAACAAAAAAAAATTTATACTTTAGAAGTTATCTAGTATCAAAAATTCAGCATGACACACAGTCCTCAGAAAAACACCACACAATAGTGCCAGTGCTGCCAGCTAAAACACACACATCAACAAAAAATATTGGAGTAGCCCAAGATATAGCCAAAGATTGCAGTGTCACAGCACTAGCGAAAATTTAAATTTGCCAACTGGAATTCTTTCGAATAACTGACATTTTGGATAACCAACGCTCTACTGTAATTTCCATTTTTGTTCAAACAATTGTTATACCTCTCAAAAATTTTTTAAATTCCAACTTCAAAGAAATCTGCCACCTGCCGCCAGAAGACATTACACATGCCGCTTGATTCGTATGGCACAGCAGAGTTTTCTCAAGGTCACAAAAAGCATCAGAATTAATTGTTGTACCTCTTGGCATAAAATCCACTAACAAAGTCCCTTTCCTGTCCCAAAATACAGTTATTTGATTTCAGCACGAAAGATCATGGTAACAGATTGTATCTTACAGTCGGCAGGTGACTCAATTTTCTTAAACATTATAAACTTCTACAGTTCAGCACACAAACAGATGATACGGCTGCCAATAGCGTCTAAACATGCACAAAGCATACTGAAAACAGATGCTCATGCACATTGTTGCAATTGCACGTCATCCTCACTCTCATTCACAAACAGACCTTATTTAAAAAATAGCCCTCATATTTTATAAAATGGTCTGCAACTTTTTAAAGTTTTGGAACCACTGGGTTGAAAGGTTTGTTAATCTTATTACAGAAGCATACTTTTAAATCTCTATTACAACTCTTTCAAACTATATAGGATTCAGCTTCAGAAATCTAACTATAACTCAGAGTAAACATTCAACAATTGCCAAAACATATTAATATAAATATATATATAATCTATAACATTTTTTAAAAATTACCAATTAATATTTAATATTAAATTCATTTTTTAAAACTTTTTGTCATTGTTTTATTTAAATTCAGGTTAAGAGGAGTATACCTCTTAACCTGAATTCCATATAGTTCAAAAACATGTAAATTCTTAATATTAATAAATTTTTTTAACTTAATTTACTTGTTTTTGATTTTATCATACACTATACATATATGTACAAAACTCATATTATAAAAAATAGTTATTTACAAACAGTCAGTGACTAAATGATAAGCTAAATTGATTTTTCTAAGTTTTTGTTTTATACAGTCATCAAGTATTATTCACTATTATTAGCACAAAGAATGTAAGATTTTCATACTTCTAACATAGATAAAACTGATAAATCATTTATTATTATTAAACTTATCACATTTCTTTAAATTCAACTTACTTTTCCTACAGATGAAAAAAATTCTTCTAAATCACGTGTTCTAACTCTCTGGGAAAGTTGCATACAAAATACCGTTCTTTGATCTTTATCTTCTGAATTTAATTCTGCAGACATTCTAAAATAAAAACAAACTGATTATATTCAAAATCAACATTAACAAATGCTTAAATATTACAGTTAAAAATCATATTACTCAATTTTATTCCCTCACTATAATCAAATTAGAAGTTTTTCAAAACACACAATACAGATATTAAAATTTCACACACTAATTTTTTTTACTCACTAAAAATTATGAATAACTAAATTGTTTTAACATACCTACTTAATGGACCACTATCTATTGATGGCATTGAACTGTAACGATTTAAAAATTATTTTGTAATATAACCAATAAATCAAAACATAATACACAATTTCCATAGCTAATTCAAAACGAACCATTTCAATATTTCAAACTATTATTAAATTTGAGTAATTGACGATATTACAATAAGCAAAAATAATTATACATGCCTTAGTAATTAAAATCTTTGACTATAATGTTAAACATCTAAAACCTCAACATTAATATGTCTAATATAAATGTTTACGAGTAAAAACAAAAGCTTAATAAAATTAAAGACAAAGTCTGCCCAAGAAGGGACCACCATTTATGTCTTGTGTTCCAGACCAATGGTTGGCAACCAGTGGTCCGCGAGAAAATTTGAACATTGATCATGTGATTGAATTCACATAACCTCATTGATTGAGGTTATGTGAAGTACAGTGATACCCCGAAGTTACGCGACAGGTGGGACCGAGCGATAACCACGTAAATCGAATTCGCGTAAGTTGGGGTATAATTTCGCAATTTGTGTAAAACCAAAGTCGGATGTATGTAAGCTAATAAATGTTCTCGTTAATCTTATCTCGTCTTTTGATTCATTCACGGTTAGAAGAAATCACCACATAGAGTCTCTCAAGTCTCCGTAGATATAACAAACACAGAAATAAATAACACAAAATAAATTGTGACTATGTGTCAATTCTGCGAGACACGTCTGAACATGTAAGCCGAACAATAGTGTGGGGGGATTGAGTAATCGAGAGTTGCTTGGCGCTGAAACAAAAGACAAATCAATGAGATTTGAAAATCACATAACTCCGGGTTCGCATAAGTCGGAATAGCGTAAGTCGAGGTATTACTGTATTACGAAAGAAATGCAAAACGCTTAGTTGCTTTTTTCACTCATTAAAGATTTTTATTCAAATCTAAAACCAAAAACGAAGTGACTGTTATCAATAAATAATGAACAATAAACAATGTTGTGAGTGCGATTGTAGTCCTTCATGGAAAAGAACGAAGAATCCATAAACTTGTTTCAAACAAGCAGCAAAGAACTTTAGGCTTGCATTAATTTGTTCTAATTAAACATGTGAATTTTATTAATATAATATAATATAAAGTTAATTCTATTAATATATAAGGACCTTGAATAAGTTCTTGCTGTTTTTTTTGTGAAATTAACACTTTATTTTAAAAAAGTTGTAATAAACACGTCACTGAAAGTATTGTCCATTGCTAGCCACAATTTTTCCCATCGTTCTGGCAGCATTTGAATTCCACGGCAGAAAAAAAGACATGTCTTTTGAGGCTATCAAAGAATCAACCCATTTTTTGGCATCTTCATAAGAATGGAAGTGCTGCTCAGCCAGGCCATGTGCCATCGATCAGAACAAGTGATAATCCGAAGGGGCGATGTCTGGTGAATACGGCGGGTGGGGTAGGACTTCCCATTTAAGCATTTCCAAGTACGTTTTCACTGGTTGTGCAACATGTGGCCGAGCATTGTCATGTTGCAAAATCACTTTGTCGTGTCTCTGCTCATATAGCAGATGTTTTTCCTTCAATGCTTGGCTCGAACGCATCAATTGTAGTCGACAGCAATCTCCCGTGATGGTTTCGTTTGGTTTGAGCAGCTCATACTAAACTACACTTAGCTGATCCCACCAAATGCAGAGCAGAAGCTTCGAACCATGGATATTCGGCCTTGCTGACGATGCTGATGCATGGCCAGGCTTACCCCACGATTTTCTACACTTAGGATTATTGTAGTGTATCCATTTTTCATCACCTGTCACGATACGATGCAGAAAACCTTTCATTTTCTGCCATTGAAGCAGCTGTTCGCATGTGAAAAGACACCGTTCGACGTCTCTTGGCTTCAACTTGTACGGCACCCAATGTCCTTGCTTTTGGATCATTCCTAATCCTTTTAAACGTTTCGAAACTGTTGTGTGATCAACTCCTAATGATTCTGCAAGTTCAGCTAGCGTCTGACATGAGTCTTCATGAAGTAACAACTTAATTCCTCGTCTTTTTTGGTGCACCAGATCATTCTTTATCTTCAACACCAAAATCATTATTTTTGAAGCATCCAAACCAATCTCTGCATGTTGTTTCCGACAGAGCACGGTCGCCGTGTCAACAAGAATTGTGTGCGCTTCAGCTGCAGATTTTTTTGAATAAAATAGTGCAATAAAATTCCCCTCAAATACTCTTTTTTTTTTTTGGCATGAAACTAGACATGTTTAACACAATGAAAAAATAAGTTATTTACACTTCTATGAAATGACATATACTTAATTTCAAGGTCGCTTATTGTACTTCCTTACAGATGCATCACCATCTAAAAATAAACACACGAGGTTCTGGTAACGCCATTTTTTAAAGAACAGCGAGAACTTATTCAAGATCCCTATAGTAAAATTAAACTTTTATGATCATTATTCTACAGATTTTTTATCATTTAAAAAATTCATGATAATGGTCTGCAGGATTCAAAATTGTGACTTTAGCAGTCTGTGAGGTGAGAAAGGTTGCCAACTGCTGTTCCAGACTATACACATTCATAGCAACCGACCTTTCTTTATAGGCTACATGCCACCAGAATTATAAAAAGTCCTTTAAAAAAACACAAATATATAAATATAAATACAAAATACAAATATAAAAAACACAAAAAACTAAAATTATAAAATTTCTAAAAAAGGAACTGGTGACATACATATGTCTTGCTTTTCATCCATCCTATGAGGTGTTTCTGCTTTTATCTACTGGAACAAGCACTGAAAAATGTATACTTTTGGGCAGACTTTGTCTTTATACAAAAGAAAAATTTAAATGTATCATCACCAGGGAACAGCTTCCAAAATCTACATTTTTCAGCATTTGTTCCAGTAGATAAAAGCAGAAACACCCAATAGGATGGATGAAAAGCAAGACGTCTGTATGTCACCAAATCCTTTTTTTTTTTTAATAGAAATTTTGTAATTTTAATTGGATATACAAAATTATATTGAATATATTGGATTGGATATACGTCGACCCCCCTATAACACAGTAGATATGTTCCATTCTTTATAAAATTGATGTTCTAAGAGTCCTTGAATACATGAACCAATCACAGCCTGGCACGTATGCAGTTTACAGACTATGGCTGTTTGAAAGGTTTTCTTCCATAAAATTAATCGGTTCTAGACTAATTTGACTCAACATTTCCAAAATACGTATCATTTTTTGGGAATAATCCATATAAACCATGCTACAAACAAAAAATTGTACGATTACTTACTGAGTTTGCCCCATTTGATGATGCCATTGCTTAAGCTTGTTTACGTAGTGAAGCTTGTCATCAAATGGCACTCATGTGCTTTCTGATAAATTATTTTTTTTTGCGAAAAATTTGCTGAACTTTGGAGACATCATTAATATAAATGTAATTTTTATGGACATTAAATAATAAATGGTTTTTAGTAGGTCCGCTGCTTGTTTAAACTCAACAGTTTGTACAATATCTGCCATTGGTCTAGATTCGACCAATCCTGTCGCAACACGAGTCAGCGATGATGTTTTACTGAATTATACAAGTTTTTTTTAGCATGTTTGTGCAAATATACGAATATGGTCGTAATTTTTTTGCTGTGATATAGCAATCCGAACTATATGAACCCATGTTAGGGGGGGTCGACTGTATTTGTTTTTTAAAGACTTTTTTTAAATTCTAGTGGCATGTGGCCTATAAAGGAAGGTTGGTCGCCATGAATGTGTTTAGTCTGAAACACAAGAAATAAATGGTGGTCCCCTTTTTGGGCAGACTTTATCTTTAATTTTATTAATATTAATAATCTCCATCAAACAAAAGTTTACAAAATAAAAAAAAAGCTATTAAGTAATATATATGTTGCAGTCAAAACCCATTTTTAGTTTGAACACGTTTTAACTAGTTGAAACTAGTTTATACTGGATGTCTTTGATAAAACCTGTTTTGTCTAGTTAAAACTAGTTTTAACTCAAATTCATTTTTGACTAACAGTAAATTCTAGTTTTAACTAGACAAAATGGGTTTTATCAAAGACATCCAGTATAAACGCGTTCTAACTAGTTAAAACGCGTTCTAACTAAAAACGGGTTTTGACTGCAACATATATATTTTTAAAATTTTTAATAACAACAACATCGTCGTATATTCTTTTAGTGTTTGTTTTTATTCCATAGATGATCCTTCACACATTTATGGAAAAAAATTCTTGTAATAAATTTTTCACTAGTTATCACTATTTTTATTGCAGATATATTTTTTAGTTAACTCAGCAACAACATTTTTCTCTGTAGAGTCAAGATTTCTTGTAGGCCAGTCTGCTTGAATGTAATGTGATTTCCTATACCTAATGTCCCACATACATAAAAAACAACAGTATTTAGTGTATCCCAGTTGCATTCCTAAGAGTACAGCAATGACTTTTAGATCACCACAGATTTTCCACTTGTGTTCAGCATATTTGATTGAGTCAAGAAGGGCTGTCATATTTGCATAAGTCTCCGCATTGTGAATAAAATAGAAAATAGAAATAGAAAAATAGACCAACAGAAATAGAAAAAAAAAGACGGTTGCTGTTGTGACATAATACAGCTTTCAAACCAAGCTTGGAGCTATGAATAGCCTCCATTCACTTGGATCATGGTTCAAATTCAAACATTTCATCAAGCAGCAAATAACCAGACTTTTTTTTTTTTGAGAAAAAAACTCTGTACTGTGTAGACCCTGACATCATGTTGGAGAAGATTCCATTGCTGTAGTCTTGACCCTAAAAAGTTCCGCCTTATTCTTTGACAAGTCTAGATCACTCGATTCAGCTTGACTTAGTCTGTGTAGTATATCATCTTTTACTTCAAAATCAGGGTCACAAAATGTGGAAGGCTTGTTGGGTTCTTCTTCTCCCACACTTTCTTCACTTTCTACTTCAAGCTCATAATGTTGGGGTGGAGTAGGAACTGGTAACTATCTGAAGGTGAAATAGGTTGAATAGCAGAT